AAAAAAGAAAGAAGGAAGAAAAAAAGAAGGGAAGCACCAAGCAAGCAAAAGAAAGAAAGAAGGAAAGAGGAAGTCACAAGTGTTGTAGCCAGTAGTATTGTATAGTTCAAACCCAGGAGGAGTATGTTCCTGGTGGAAATAAAGAATTGCAGCCAACAGTCTCATAGCAGTTATTGAAACTGAGTTTTATGCTCTTATTCTGACATGGAGACAGGCTGAGATCTCAGTTTTTCAAATTTAGCAACATAAAAAGGTTAGTTACATAGAAAGTGTTTTGGCAACAATGAGATTACACTTGCAGTAGCTTCAGGATGTGAGGATAGTGAGTAGTTAGTGAGTCATATTGTATTTTGACCTGAATAGAGATAATATTTTCTTGTATTTTGGTGAGAATATTTTTATTTTAGTTGAAAAATGGATAACCAACTAAAGAAACCCATATTATTTGCCTCTTGAAATTATCTATTCATTTTGGGAAGCTATGCCTCTTAAGGAAACTTTTGTGACTGGCTATGAGTACAAGAGACTACCAGATCAACTGTTTTGAATAAATTCATCAGTCAGTTAAGTTCTTTTTTTTTTTTTTGCTTTGGATCTCTGATTTCCTATGTATAAAGAACTTCCAATGTGTAAGTTCTCCCCATTGATGTATATATGCAACATCTGTCTTTGAGAGTTGCTTGGGGGCACTGAAAAGTGAACTTGTATCTTGTCTCAAAGTTAGCATATATCAGAGGCATGACTTGAATCTAGGCCTTCCTGACTCCAAGCCTGGCACTCCATCTACTACTACACCATTCTACCTTTCAGTTAAATCAAACCACTCATCAGTTCATTTTTCACTGAATCAAACAAGTTATTTGAAATGCTGTCAATTTTTGCTCAAGTCAAAAAACAAACAAACAAACAAAGTCAACAAAAACAGATCACTTGAATACGGAAAATGGCCCAAGAGACTTGGAATGGAGGAATCATTTGTCAAGTGGGACTTACTCTGTGAAGGCCATTTTCCTTCTTTTCTAAAGGGTTTACATCTGCCATTATGTTTATTTCCCTGATGCTTAGTTTAGAAAATATCATCACTTGTGTTCTATGAGGATCAGTCGATGAAACCAGGAATGTTTTGCCTAGAGAAGACTCAGGGAGAGCATGATAACCTGTTTTCAAATATTTGAAGGACTGTCATGTAGAAGGGAGATTAGATTTGTTCTGTTTGGCCCAGAGGGAAGAATTACAAGCAACACAAGAAGTTGCAAAGTGGCAAATTTAGATTTAATGTCAAAAAAAAAAGTGAAAAAGCATAATCGGCTCCTTTGAGAGAGTGGATCCCACCCTCTTTGGAGCTCTTTAGGCAGAGGCTGAATGATCAGGTACATGAGGTACATCAGAAAGGGGATCCTTATCTGGAAAGGGTTGGCCTCAATGGCCACAAATCACTTTCAACTCTCATATTCTGTGATCGTGTCTATCTCTTTCCTTAGCCAAAAAAATATAAAATAAATGAGCCCAAGAAAACAAACAAAAAGAGATTTCTCCAAGACCAGGACTTGCCTTTGATTATACTGGAGTGGTTTCCATTGAGTATGACGATTATTCATTGGTGATTTCAAAGAGCTTAGTCTTGCTTGTTTATGTCACCATTTGGCAACTTGATGGATATCATTATTATTACCTATATGGAAGTGGTTGGATCCCCTTATCTTTAGATAGGCATCCTTACTGATTTTTTTAAAAATACTATTTAAGTTATAAATCCATGTACAACAGAATCATTTTACAATAAATCTCAGAAAAGGTAGAAATACGTTAAGTATTTATAAGTAAAGAAAATTCCCTTCCATCCATTGTTCCAAGGAAGAAATTCCTGCTGTTTTTAAGAACATGAGCTACCAGTTGGGATACTTGGGATGTGGACATTTATTGCACTGAAAGATTTAAAAGGTGAGGAGTCTGACAGAAATGTCTTAAAACACAGTGCCATGTAATAAATACATAGCTGTTAAGAGTCAAATTGAAATAATAAATATTGGGTTTTTATAGAGCACTATAGCTTTGCAGGCTGTGTACATGGTCCACATTAGATTTGTGGGCCAATCCAGCACAGGAACTTTGAAACACTGGAAACCAAACTGGGTCATGTGTGGGGTACTGCTTATAGGAGCTTCATTCTGAGAAAGTTGGAAAATTATTGGACTTTATTGTATCCAAAAATTTCATACCTTGGTATGGAATTTTCTAATTTTGTATAGTGGTAGCATTGTAACCAATAAAGCTGACTGAATATATTTACTGATGCCGAAAACTTTTTCTAAGGTCTCTCCAAACAAGATAGTGGGAAAAAAAAATGTGTTGAAGAGAGCTAGACTCCTCACATGTGCCTCACAAAACAAGAGTTAGAAATAGAAAGTCACCAAAAGAGGGAAAAAGTGATTTTAAAACTATGTTGAAGTATACAAGCCAATCAAAATAGAAAATGACCAAAATGAAGACAAAGTTAATGTGATTTAAAAATACAATAGAATGACTGAATCAACTCAGATTTCAAATGCCCCATGGAGGGGTGGGGGGCGGGGGGAGATCACCCATCAACTTTATCCTCTCTTCTCTTGGACTTATTATTACAGTCCCAGATCGCAGTAAATTACACTAGCAACCAAATCAGGCAAATTCATGGGGTTTCCTCAAGACCCGTATTTTGGTGGTCTCCACAATACTTCAGTGACTGACAACTAGCTGGTAACTTGGAATTGATGCCATCTCCTTTCTTAAGCTCAGTCATATCCATACATTTGAGCCGTTAAAATCTTATAAATCTGGATTCTATGATATTCCTAATTTTTTTAAAAAAAGTCTTGATTTATCCCCTTTCACACAACCTATTTGTTGTATTCCTAAAGTTCAGAGTTTGTTTTTTTTTTTTAGTCTGTTTTCTAATAGATTTTCTAACAGAGCAGCTAGGTGGCACCATAGTGGATAGAGGACCAGCCCTGAAAGCAGAAAGACTTCTCTTCCTAAGTTCAAATCTGGCCTTGGACACTTACTAACTGTGTGACCCTGAGCAAGTCACTTAACCCTGTTTGCCTCAGTTTCTCCATCTGTAAAATGAGCTGGAAAAGAAAATGGAAAACTACTCTGATATTTTTGCCACGAAAACCCCAAATAGGGTCACAAAGAGTTGAACGTGACTGAAAGTGACTGAACCACAAATTTCTAATAGATTGTAGGACAAGAATTTTTCAACCTTATATGAGGGATTCTTAACCTGGAGTATACGAACTTTAAAAAATATGTATTTTGATAGCTATTTCAGTAGAATTTATTTCCTTTGGAATCTCATGTGTTCTATTTCATGTATTATTTTGAGAAGGGGTCCATGGGCTTCAAATAGGTCTATGACATGTAAAAAAGTTAATAGCCCCTGGACCAGATGGTCCCTTATAGCTCTAAATCTGGGATCCTATGTTTCCTTTTTAAACATAACAGCTGGCATTTCTATAACACTTCGATGTTTACAAAGTGTTTTACATACATTACTTCATTTAAGCCTCACTCCTACCTTGTGTGGTTGGTTCTGTCATTATTTCCACTAACAAGTGAGGAAACTGAGGTTCATAAAGTAACCAATCTCCCCCCACCCTAATCATCAAACTACTAAGTGTCTGAGGCAGAATTCAAACCCAGGTCTTCCGAAATGTGAGTTCACCCTTCTGTCCCCTCTTGAGAACACCTAGGTACCCATGCAGTAAGAACACAGATATGAGGTACACTTGAATCATTGTTAACAAAGTGAATCATAAAGTTCTTGTCATTGAAAATAGGATTTTCACACATAACTGAGAATTATTATCTATAAAGCAGCTTTTGAGGTTTGCAGAAAGCCTTCCTTATGTATGCTACAACCACCATAATATCCATAGTAAAGAATATTTGACATGAGATGGGTTTGGAGTCATCTAATTCCAGCTCTGTTTCTAGCTACCTGTGTGACATGGGCATGATTTATAATCTCACTGGACCTCAATATCAGTACATGTGATGACAATGTTGAACTAAAATATTTCCTAAGATCTCTCTTTATCAGCTCTAAATACTGAAAAATCTATGTCAAGTGGGATGTGATTCCCTTTCCCAGCTTATTTTTAAGAGCACAATGTAGAGTAAGAAGTGTGCCTTACCTGAACAATGACTAATGGAAGAGTCTTCTTAACTTGGTATAAACCTTGAAGGTTAGAGAGGGCAAGAAAAATGAGGATTGCGGTAGGGTGATCTGAAAGGGCATAGCTAAGACTAATGAGATGAAATTAAGTGAAAGAAAAATGTGGACTGAATATCAAGAAATATTTCCTCCAGATGGGCTGTGATTAGATCTTGCAGTACTATCCCAACAGAAGTGGTATGAGCCTTCTATATCACCCTTGTCACTTAAAACTGGACCAGACTTTAAATGACCCAAAAAATACATAGTAAGAAAGAGCCTAACTTTGGCAGGATGATAAGTGAGATGACATCTCTAATTTCATTGATTCCGTCTCAGGTGTCTGCTCCTAATCACACATCCTCCCATAGATAGGAGGGGTTTGTGATCCTGTTAGACTTTACCTGACTACTTTTCTTCCTTCTTTTTCAGAAAATATTTTTGTTAAAATCCTATCCTTGGAAATGGCTTCCTTAAGTGGCAAAGTGCAGACAGCTTGGGGCCTTATGGAACCAGGTCAACTTGGCCGGACCTTAACCCATGAACACTTGACCATGACCTTTGACTGAAGCTACTCCCTTCCCTCTTTAGGCCAAGAAGCTTTGTCTAAGGAACCCCTTGTGATGAAGAACTTGTTTTGGATTCAGAAGAACCCATATTCCCTCAAGGAGAACATTCAACTAAATCAGGAGACTGAACCCATTAAGGAAGAGTTCCTAAATTACAAAGCTAATGCTGGTGGGGCTCTGATGGAAAATACAACTGCCAGACTTAGTGGTTTATGGAAGAGACCGGGGTCCATATCATCTCTAGGGCTGGATTTTATGTGGATGTCACACATTCTCCAGAGACCTGTGCCATGTCAATAGAACAGGTAAACAATTCTTAGTCAATATCTATACATGAAATTAGAGTAGTCTTGTCCTTACCTCCTTGTTTATCAGTGAACTTCAGCCACAAATGAAAATCTCATTGGCTCAAAGGTAGTGGTGCCTGCTACAGAGGCACAGGGGCACAGAAGGAGAGGGAGATTGAATGCCAGATCATTAATACTTCATAAAGAAAACTTTGAACAAAGAAAATTTTGGTGTACCCAATGTTGAAAGATTCAGAATAATGATAATTATATTTCATATGTATTGTATCAGTGCTCAGTAGTGGTACCATGGCCTGTTTATAAAACTCAGTTTTCCATTATAAACTTCAATTATACAAGCTCAATTTTCCTTCACGATTTTATAATAACCCAGCAGTAAAAATTCACTGTAGGGTGAAACTTGGCAGGCAGAGACTTGGCAAGTTTGTGAATTTTTTTTTTACATCTCCCTTTACAAAGTTGGGGGTTGGAGGGATTGAGGAGGAGAATCTACTCGTCTGTTTTTATCTCTATCATGTTATTGAGTAAGAAGGATGAGTTCACAGAAGAAAAGTAAGAATGACTCTTTAATGGATGGGGGGGGGGAGAAAAATAGCGAAACAATGTCCAAAGCATATATTTACCATCATCTATTCAACAGCAGAATAGCTGCAATTTTTGCAAGGAACAATTAATCTTTAAAATTTGTTTGACAGAGGGTTCATTTTCAAAATTATAATTCTCCATTTCTTCAGTCATGAGGATTTTACTTTTCCAAAATATGTAGGTAAAATTGAATGGACTGTATTCTCTGGATTCTATTCTCCCAGCAATGCTTGCACACATTCCCAATTACTTTTAACAACCATCTTAAATGCATAAACCAAAATGTATAATGTTATGGGACAAGTGTATTGTGTATAGTATTTTCTGTTAGTATGGGGTAAAGGATTGAGTAAATAAGATGGAATAACAGATTTGCTCACTGTAGGCTTAATTTATTCCATAGCTATCCCTTTGTCTGCCAGATACTCCAGTTTGGGGAATAGACTACTTTCTCAATCCACACATTACCTAATCGCTCTTTCCTTCATTTGGTTAATTGATCTTAAAGTCATGGGTTTTAAGTTAAATATTTACAGCGAGACAAACAGCATGCTATAGTGCTAGTCTTGAAATCAGGAAAACCTTATTTCAAATTCTGCCTCTGACACGTACTGACTGTGAGACAAAAAAAAATGATATTTTTGTGATGGTAAACTAGGCCATCTTTTGTCTCAGTTCTCACTCAGCCCTTAGTTATTGAATGGGTGTTGCCTCAGACAAACCTGAAAAAGATGTTAATTTTGAAAGGCCAAGGTCATCCACTGCATCCTGGTAATTCACCAGTCATCCTGACTTTGGTCTTGCCTCAGGATTTTGATAACTCTGGAGTAGAGAGTAAGGCTGATGACTTTGCACAGCTCTGCCTCACTTAAATCCAATTCACTTGCAAGTCAAGACATCACTCAGTGATGTCATTGTCCTCTTTGAGAACAAAAGACAAACACAACTGATCATGAGCAAGTTATTTAAGCTCCCAGTGCACCCAGGTAACCTTCAAACAAGATGAGTTGACTTACCACTTTATATCAGTGGAAAAAATTTCCATAAACCAATGAAATCACCAGCCTGGAATCCCATCTCCTACCCTTCCCCTTTCTCACCCAAAAATCTATAACAAATGTGCCTTAAGTCTTTGAGTTGGAAGAATTACGTAACCTTGTCTCATCCTTAATCCTCGTACCTAATAGGTGTTCAATAAATGGGTGTTGAATTAAATATCTGCTGAATAGATATCTTCACCACATGCTTTTACATACCCTTTTGTTTATAAGGTGTTCTCATTCTTCTTTAGCTTACTGATATTCTTATTAATGAAATACTACATGCAGCTGATGGGCCCAACATCAAATGTGGAGTCATTGGAGAAAGTGGCTGCTCCTGACCTCTCACTGAAAGTGAGAATAAGGTACTTCAGGCAACAGCCCATGCACAGTCTCAGCTCGGATGCCCAGCTATCATCCACCCTGGTAGGAATCCACACTTACCCTTTAAGATTGTATGAATCTTGCAAGAAGCTGGAGCAGACGGCTCCAAGACAGTCATGTGTCACCTTGAAAGGCAAGAAGGCTATCCGGGAGCCAGTTCAGAGTACAGCTAAAAAGCCTGATACATGTGTATGGCCAAATTGACCAGCCTATAGGTTCTGATGTTTATTTTACTAGCCTACCAGGAGATAAGCAAATCAATTCAATCTGCAATGGTCAAGGAAATTAAACACTGTTTGTCAAGTTTGAACACGTAGTATTTGCAAGATTTTTTTACATGACAATCATGGCCAATTTACCATATTAAGTAATTGTATAGAGCTGTAATGAGCAGCTTGCATTAATAAACAGAATAAATGTGAGGATTCTCCCAAATGACTATTGCATGTGTTGTCTTTCATATCCGTGTTACCATATTGGATTTGAAATGTTGAATTTGAAATTGCTGGTTCTTTGAGAAGCCCATGAGAAATAAAAACAAGAATAAAAAAATGTGTAATAGACTTTCATTAAAGTTCTTTGATGCCTTATTTTTCCCTGGACATCAGTCCTGAGTTCATGACCACTAATCCTGGAGCACAGGCCCTGGCAGGAGTGTCTGAAGCTGAAAAGGTAACGAAAGTCCCCTCATCAGTGGACTGAGCCAAGAGCAATGAAATCACAGATCCATATTAAAGCAAGATAGTGAATAAGAGGGGAGGAGACACGGGATATGCACTTATATAGCACCTACTATGTGCCAGGAAATGTGCCAAGTTGTTTTTTAGGTTTTGTTGGGGTTTTTTTTTTTACAAATATTATTTCATGTGATCCTTACAACAGCCCTGTGAGTCAGGTGCTATTATTATCCTCATTTTACAGTTGAAGAAACTAAAGCAGAGGGTAAGTGATTTGCCCAGGGAAACACACCTAGTGTCTGAGGCTGTGTTTGGACTCATCTTTTGGACTCCAGGCCCAGAGCTTTATCTGCTATACCACCACCAGCTTCCCGGCAGCTGTTCATTTAGTAGTTCCGGAATGAACGAGCAAATGAATAAATGAATGAATGAATGAATGAATGAATGAGAGGAAGAGAGAGTATTTATTAAGCAGTTACTATGTGTTACACATTGTGCAGTTGTGCACTGTGCAGTTACTATGTGTGACACATTAAGCAGTTACTATGTATTATACATCGTACTTAGTAGTAGGGATTATTTTAAAAAAAAAAAAGATAATCCCTGTTCTCAAGGAGTTGCCATCCTAATTGGTAAAAACAATACTCAAAGAGAATGGCGGCCAAGGAGAGACACATTGGTCCAGGGAGCTAAAGGGATAGTGAGTAGGGCCAGAGATTGACGTATCCCATCCAGAAACTTTGGCAGCGTTGAATGATTCCAGAACTGGGGTTGGGGGGGTGGGGGTAGGTGGTGAAAAAGGAGACTGTATGTCTGCACATTGTAGCAATGAAATTATTTATATTAGAAGAGATGGCCAGAGAGTGGGGAGTGAAGGGAAGACTGGTCACTGGGACTTTCCTGAAGTAGTGGTCTTGGGAGAGTCAATCACCAATCAGGAAACCTGGGGTCTTTGGCAGAGAATTCTCCCAGTACCAAGGCTGTTGGCAAGGCTGTGAGAAGACACAGAACATAGACATTGAGTAGTAGAGGACATCTGACATTTGCAGCTATGAATTTTATAAACAGTCATAACAGTTTGGCTAAGATTTTCTATGAATAATACCCTTAAATGTAATTGATACAAGAATTAATACAGTTCTCTAAGTATGAAGCTAAGAATATTTTAGAAAATAGCTATTATCATACACACTGGAATAATGCCATCCCAACAGATTGACAAATCCTGATGAACAGACCAGACATTCTGCTATTTGATTAACTAATAATGCAGAAGAATTTATGGACATAGCTGCTCCCCTTAATAGAAATATTGTAGAATCCTGTGCAGAAAAATAAATAACTCAAACAGTGTATCCCAAAAATAAGGAAGCCAAGATCCATCAAAATAAAACCAGTTATCTCTGTAGCTGTGATGGTTTCATGTCTCAGGAAAACTTTTAGTATGTTTTGACTTAACATTGTCACTAGGAGATTGGTATATCTACAAGTGATTATGTAATATCTCTGGCCCATCTCTGACCATTGTCAGTAATACATACCAGATTCATCTGACTTGAAAAGAATGATGTCCTATATCAGAACATAATTCTGAGATATCTCTTTTACATTTAGAGATGATAGTTTGACAGAGATTCTTCCATCTCTTCCATCTAGCAAGCTCTGAGTAAAAAGCTTTGAGGGTGGACAGACAATTCAAATTCAATTTCATTTAATGAACATTTGTTGAATGTCCCCTACCCACAAGGCACCATGCTAGGTGTTATGAGGGAAGCAACAACACATAAAACAGTTCTCACTCTCAAGGAGCTCCCTGCGTTGATGAGATGGAGTACAAAATGTTACCTGGCAAAGCCTGGGGAGAGATTTTCATAAGGGGTTCTGAGAAACATCTCCCTTGACAGTAGAACTTTCATAGATTCCATAGACTGCAGACTTAAAACTGCAAGGAACTTGAGAGGCCATTAATCAAGCCTTCTCATTTATAAAAACGAGGAAATGAAGGTCAGAGCATTTAAATGACTTTGCTAAGTCTACCCAGATAGAATTATCAGAGTCAGGATCTGAACTCAGGTCTTTTGATTCTAGTCAGCTCTCTTTCCACAAGTCGATGCTGCCTTTCCATGGGATAGCCTCCATCACAGATGCAAGGAAGGAAGGAAGGAAGTGGGGGAAAGAAAGAAAGAAAGAAAAAAAGAAAGGAAGGAAGGAAGAAAGGAATTAATGAAGGAAAGAAGGATGAAAAAGAAAGAAAGAAAGAAAGGAAAGAGAGAAAGAGAGACAAAATAAGGAAAGAAAGTGAAAGGCTGGAGACTCATCATAATTGATACTCAGTAGCTGCATCATCAGCCAGTGTCTTCAGTATCATCTAGGATGGAATGGAGTGGAAGAACCAACTTCAGGAAAGTACTGAGTGTTAAGGAAAGGACATTTCTAGTGCCTCCACGTATTCTATTTCTATTTTATGTGTTCTCCATACTTAAAAGAGAGAAGAAAGGATGTCGGTGCATTTAGTGGGAAGGCAGCTGGGTAAGATGGCTTTCAAAGAAGCAGTACATTCAAAAAAGCATAATGTAGACAGGGGAAAAAAAACACTGGCTGGCAGCAAGCAGGCAGCTGTAGTTCCTGCAGGTGAATATTCACAGCAAGGCAGTTTCCAGGATGGAGTTTGACGAGGTCAGCCTTTCACAGCCAGCCTCTGATCTGCCGGACGGACAGTATGTACGATCTGGTCTACACCAAGTGTGAATCTCAGCTTTTCATAATAGAAGATAAATCACAGAGAGCACATACTTTATGCAACAAAATGCACATAGAATCACTAAAAAGGGGGGGGGAGGCAGAAAACAAGGCATCCAGCAAGGAAGCAGAAAATAATTTTGTTTCCCCCCGTCATTCTCTTTCAGCATAATGGAGAAGAATTTGAGCCCACAGGCTGTTACCGTTGCATGGCAACGAATCAAGGTGGTGGCTTGGCTCTGCTGGCCCCTTTCAGGATAGCGAGGGCTGTACAGCAAAGTAAAAATCCAGCCTCGACAGTCTTTAGTAGAAATCATTTCTTTTTTTTTTCTTTTCCATAAAAAAAACTTTTTTTAAAAAAAGTATGCTAATTAGAGGTACTGAAATAAAATATTCTAATATATCCAAAAGCACACAAGAGTTTAGGATTATTTTTCTTAAGGCACAGAAGTATCAATTTAATAGGATTCATCTATAGCATGATTTACTTCAAAGATGTTATTTCAATGTCCAGAGGGGATATTTCATACCCCAAGCACAAAAGAGTTAATAAATGACTGGCTTCCCGGGAGACCTCTGGACCACATTGCTGTCATGTGACTATTTGTGACCAGCTTAAGGTCATTTACCTAGAGATATCAGACAGACGAGATAAATCTGCTTCTGTGGATAACAGTGCTGCTATTACCATCTGTTCCCTTAATAAATGGTTGAAGAAATGTGAGCTTGTTGAAAGCACTCCTTAAGCATTAGAAATTAACCGTAGAAAACAACATTACTCTTTGACCATTGGAAGGGCCCAATTGTAACATTTACAAAGTCACGGTAATACTTAGGACATTTGTGTAAATTCATGTAATTCACGATGAATCTGAAGTCTTTGCAATTGTTCAAAGTAAGTATTTTACTGACTAAATCTCGTTTACCATGTACCCAGGTGGCTCTGCACCTTACCTATCCACCTCTTCCCAAATTGTTACAAACTGTTTGTATTTGAAGATAATACCACGATGACATCACAGACCTAATTCCTAATAGGGGGCAAGACTTCAGTTCGACATGTTATCTAAGGCAACTATGTGCTCGATCTTTTCCAGTACAACAACTGTACTCTCTCATTAGTGGATGTAAAACAAAAATAACTGGAAAGGGTTGGGGGGTTGTCTATAGACAATGTGGTACATTGCATTTAGAGTCAAAGGATCTGAGTTCAAATTACAGTCGTTTTACTTCTCTGATACTCTCAACCAGTAAATTGAAGGGAATTTTCCATTCACCCTGGAGGGCAATAAACAGCTGCTATGCCTTGATCTTTTTGCTGTTTGGTTATCTATCATAACAACCCCAAAGGATTTTGCAGCAGAGTGCTCAGACTTTGGAAAGGTAGATGAACTGTACGGGAAAATAGAACATCACTCCTTTTTACAAATCCCTGCTTGGGGATGGCTGGTTTGAAAGGGAGTTAAAGAAAGCTGAGGTAGACAGAAAAGGAAACAGGCAAGCTGAGAATGCCAATCTCAGTCTCATTTGCTTATAGTCATTCAAGCCACATTCACACAACTCTTAGGAGGAAAGTGGTGCTTTAACACAATCTCTCACTTTAACACAATCCTCCCACTTTAACACAATCTCCCACTTTAACA